TAAACGTTCAATCTATATACCAAAGTCCTGCATTCCAAGTTTTTAGTTATTTATTTATGAACAAAGATGTGCAAACTTGTGCCTTTAGTTTAGTTTCAGAATCTAGTATTAGATAAATATAGTCTATTAAATGCTTTTTAAAAAATGCTGCGCATTAGTTACGATAGCGTAAAATTAATTGTTTGTTAAAAACACTCATTATTATGCGTTATGTGTTACCGCTTCTTAAGCTTTTAGACAGAAAGTGGTTTCTTTAAAAAAAGCTTCAACAAAATCATTCAACTTCTTTTCAACCATTTGCATGTGCAAGAGACGATGCGTAGGAAGTTCTATGAACCTAACCAAAGCTTACAAGAAGTTCTATGAAAATAAACAAAAGCTGCGGAAATTTCGATGAAACAATTTGCAAAATTTGTATTTTGCTTATGTTTTTGTTTATGTTTCTGTTTTTGCTTATGTTTCTATGGCATGCGTTTTGTTCTGCTGTGTGGAATTTTTTACTAAAAACTAAGATGTATGAATGGATACATATTTATTTATTTATTTTATTAACGAAATTTAAAAAAAAAATTACAATGCAAATTTTCTTGCAAAACGTATCAAACTGTTGCAGGTACAGTATACGATTACATACACATATCTTTTTGCAAGTTAACGGGTTATCTAAACGTGATTTTTTACGACTAGCGACAGGAATGCACATTTGAGGCTCGCCGCAACGAATCCAGCTTTTCTTTCCGGTTGAAGGTTTATTGTGCACACACAGTCATCTGCTAAATAGGTCGGAATTTTTCAAAGGAAAACTAAAATATGATGACTAAACACAGCCAATCAAAGTTAACATTGGCGCCGTACAGCACACGGGTGCGTAGAGAGAAACTAAAAAAATTAATTTAAAAAAAAGGATTCTAAAATAAATCGCTTGACATTGTTTTGTTTTCTGTTCTGTTGGAGTTTAGTTATTTACCTTCAAATTAAATTGCTATATTTTAAAATTCTTCTCTGTTTTAGTTAAATAATTTAAGTTGATATTATTTTATTTCTTATCATTAATTTATTTTTTTTCATTTGTTGTACGAAATAGTATTTCATCTGTAAAATATCAAACGCCAACTGCTACAATTAAATCGACATCATCACCCTCATTGTCGTAAAAATTTAACCTGCTGATGGCCTGCGGATAGCTTACGTATTGGCGATGGCTTTTCGAAATCAAGGTTATCTAACATTTGTACCATGCTATGCCGTCGGGATAATCTAATGACTGCCGATGTTTAGTGTGATGACCACCTTTCCCGGTTCGCCAATTAATCGCTTTGAAATGATTCTGTACTGTTAAACCCAATTCCGGACAGGAATCGTCATCCATCTAAAATAAAAAAAGATTTTACTCGTTCTAAACGGTCAAGCGAAAAGGTCTTACGAACACTTTCGCTTCCTTAAACATGGTAAAACCATCACAGCTATTTTTTTGAAAGAAAAATTTCAAACTTCAGTGAAGCCCCTGACGCGAGTATCATGAGTAAAATCACTCTCAATTGCGACAATCTAATATAAACACATAATCATTCCTTATGTTATGTTTTTGTAAGCTTTTTTCAAACAATCTTTTTACTTTATTGTGGTGCCTATAAACAATATGAAAAATAAACAAAAAACAGTATTTGCGGAAATTTATTAATTGGGAAATTAATTCAAATGTTTGAGTTCGAAACGGTTTGTTTAGGGTATTCCACGCCCACGTCCTCACAAAACTATTATAAATAACTATTTAGTTGCGTGTCGGTTTTTTCTCAATTTATAAAGAACCATTTATTCTCAATTTTCCTCACATAAAGTAATAGTGATTAAATTTACATTATTTTTAAATTTTTTTTTGGTATGTTGAACAGAGATGGAGTTATTTCCAAAATAAATGCCTTTCAAACAAATGTCATTATAGAAGTAGCTCTTAATACAAGTACATTTGTTTATGATTCTCAATAATTGAAAATGGTTTTGTATAAAAATTGCCAAAATCTGAGAGTAAGCGTCTATGTTTGTTTACAGTTCTCAATAATTGAAAATGTATTTGTTTATTAACAGCTGTCGCATATATAAAAATTGCGTCCACCTGAGCGACCAGATTCCGCAAAAACGGTAAATAAACCGCCTAGATTCCACAAAAAAAAAGTAAATAAACCGCCCAGATTCCACAAGTTAAACCGCCAGATGCAATTGCAACCAACGGCTTCCTTCTCTTTATAATCAGAATTACAAATAAATTTGGAGATCTTTTATTAAGGTGTGTTACTAAAATCGCATTTGTACTAAAGTAAAAAATAACATAATATACAACATAGATGTGGTGAAGACCTTCGACACAAGTTAATTAAAAATGTTCACTTGCCTTTCCTTCCTAGCAAACTATAGTACCCATAAAATCTTTGTCATAAAAATTTAGTAAGAGACGGTAGAATTTCTTATATCCCACATTCATATGTATTTTTAAAAAAATTTAAAAAAATTTTGATGATGATTTTTTTAAACAATAATAAATTGCTCGTTGAATAAGAAGCTCACAATGATTGATAAAAATCGTCGATCTCGATAGCTTGATGTGTTTGTTCCTTGTTCAGGTATTCATTAGTTGCTTGTATTAACTGAGAATCAACCCTGTGACCTGTGCAGGTTTGCGTGGATCAAATGCAAAAGTCACTCCAGATACTTGAGGAAAGCGTTCCTTTAATTTGTGGTAACCAGATACAGCATTTTCCAAAGATTCATGCAGACAGCGGCCCGTTATTTCAATTAACACTGAAGGAATCTTTCTGATAATTTTATATTATTCGGCGAATTTCCGAGAAATGCCTGCTTTTAAATTTCGTGCATTAAAATCATAAAATTCATAAAAATTGGCTGATTGGTTTGAGATATTTTAAGCCATTTCGCTTAGAAATAATTTCAGATAGTATAGGAAATAATCCGTGGTGGTTGTGTCGAACTATAATGGAAGATTTTTGACATATTCATGGAACAAGAGATTCGACGCCAGGCGAACCTTTTCACTATCATTATTTTTACAAGGACAGAGCAAAGAAGAGTCTTCATCGTAATAGTTGGATTGTGCTGGGAATTTGCTCTCTCAGCTGTGTTGTTGGTAACGCCGTTAAAACTGTTGTTTACGAGACATTCATTCATTGTTTGAATTCGAAGCAATATTTGCAGAGGGGTTGGATTTGACGATCAATTGCTCACTGAAGGAAAATAAAGAATCATTTTCCGGTACTGTAACTTTACCACGCAATATTTTGGCTATCATTTACCCACCATAAGCGTAACTAGATAGATGCAAATCACAATTACCTAAATTTTATTTGGAAATTTTGCATAGAGTCAATAAAGTAAAGATGAGGAGCTAATAATATTTACTACTGTTAGCTCCTTTCACAGGTAGAAGAAGCATTTACTTCTCTCATAAATTCAATGAATTGAAAAATAGCAAAGTATGCTGCTCAAATGAACCCGTTCATAATTAAAGAAGTTTTAGTGTGTGTAGTAATGCCTAAATTCACCCGTCACAAATTCATTTCTAAACAATGGTCTACAATATATAGGCTACTTAGTGGTTTTTAAAGTGTAATAACAAATAGTTTCTGCCTTTTTCCAAATTTTTAAAAAAGTGCTAGGTTATTGCATAAATCATTTCCTCAACCATTCGACCAAGCGGCTTTAAATCCTGTTGCCTTCTATATAAAATTTTGATGCTTAAAATTAAAATGATATTTTAAAAGTGTTTTAAAAGTCTTAACCCGTTAGTAAACTCTCGTGGTATATAGCTGGAAATATCCAAACATTCGAAATAGATGATGAAGACGATGTGCGCACTTACCCTCAATAAACCGTTGAAACAACTATTTTTATCTATTTTTTGCTGAGACAAATTTTTTTCAGATATGCGAATGCGTTTTTAGTCGAAGCCCCGAAAAACTGCTAGCTAATAAAATAATGGAAACAAAAGTAAATATACTCATAATATTTTGGACTTTTTTTATTATTATTATTATTTTAATTTTAGACTAATGAATTGAATTCTTAGACTAAAAAAAAGACATTGAGCACTAGCAACACGGGCTATCGGCTCTAATTTAAATAAATGGATATTAGATAATAAGCTTAGTAGTATTAATAAAGTAATGTATTGAATTGATATTCTGTTCTATAGGTGTTTGTAGAACGCCCATAATCGTTCGAAATGCAATGCTTCTAACCAAGGTGAAGTTAAGGCAGTCACGGAGAATGTGCTTTATAGTGAGAAATTTCTTTACACGTATTGTAGGCCTTTAGAGAATAAGCGTATACAATTATCAAGAATTTTGCATGTATTGAAGTCCTTTAGAGAATAAAAAACCCTCAGAGCAAGTTGTTATGCTTTTCGGACGACGCCTAAATAATATTATAATTGAAACTGGTCTCCCAGCTTTAGAAAATAGACTTTATGAGCTAAAAGCTAATTCAAACACATTCTCGGTGAAGACGTGAGGAAGATTATTATTGCGAAGAAAATTCCAAAGTCACCATCTGCAATTGACCATTGTCTGTACGTCGCAAAGGAATTGAGCATTCCCTTAAAAATTTCCCGCTCTTTTGGTGTTAAACCTCCCTGGATTTTGACAGACTGCTCTTTTGACATCTCACTGTCTATGCACTAGAAAGAAGGTACTCCAAATTACGTCTTCAGAAATCTAATAGCTGAAAAAACCCAAGTACCTGAGATTAACAGTTGGAATCTTTTATACACTGACGGCTCAAAATCTTCTGGTGTGCCACCTGCTTGTGCCGTGGTAGATGCTTCAGATACTTCTCAATCACATATTTCACAAAAGTACTTCAACTTTCACAACCGAAGCCAGCGCTATCCTTCACGCTGCGAACCTTTCCCATGAAAACAAACTCAAAAACATTAACAAATTAAGAAATATCATTACAAAAAAAAAAATTAAAATGTTATCGGTACCTAGTCATATCGGTTTATTGGGCAATGAGCACGCTGATCTAGCAGCGAAGTATGCTGCTTATGCACCACCTATGCATCCAAATGCTTATCATCACTGCACATTATTGCTGAATGCAAACAAAACCCAATTAGGAGATTCTCTTGTTAGAGAAGAGGTACACCCCATCTATTTCTTATGCAAAAAATCGTTATTTTCATTATTCTTTCGGCTAAGGCAACTTATATAGGCAAAGCCACGGCTTCGAAAAAGTCTGCCATTAAAAATTTATGTGATGTTAGTAGCACCGTAAATATAGCGCAGCTACTGTCGGCAATTGGTTATGAATTTTTACGCACTTCCGCCACAGAAGTGGAAGATGGCGGCAATATTCAGATCTTGAAACAGAGGGGATTTCAACTCATAAATCCAACAGAAAAGTGGTTTCCAGGAATTGATGTTTTGGGTCATGAATTTAGTTCTTGGGAATGGATCGTTGGAAAAACGCCTACCTTTAGCGTTGAAAAAGAATTAGCTCTGAAGACGGACGGCGATAAACAGTTAATAATGAAATTGAGTGTCGGCGTCGAAAAAGTAAGAAGTGCTCCTAGCTCGTAGCTTTTGAAATCCTGTTAACATCCTCTGTTTCCTTCTTCGGAGTTTAATGGCCGATATCAACATTGTGATGCCTAATGGGGATAGATTGCCGGTTATAACCCAATTCCAAAACAAAAGCTTTAATGAGAAAAATTTGAACAATATAGTTGGCGCTCTTAAGTTGGCTTCGACGGACAAGGTTAAACAAGCTATTAATGGCTTGTAAGGGCTATGTCTAAATTGTACTTTCTACAGCTTTATGTTTGTTTATTTTTACGACAATTTGCGAAAAATAAAGAAGCAATGTCTTCATTTACTTTTTTTTTTAAACATTAATTATTCCTCTTATGTAAGTTAGTTTCAAACAGATTTTCTGCAGCAGAGAAACTAACAGGAGATTTTTTTAAAAGAAAGGAACTACAACTTTTCTATATGTCGTAAACCACTTAATACAACTCGCTCGGCAACTCTGCATGAAATAAGACGCTTTCTTGCAGAAAATTCTTGAAAAATAAATTTTTTTTTTTCAACAAAAAAAGAAAAAATTCTCCTTTTTTTTTTGTTTCTGAAAACTCTTGAAGTAGTGAAAATATATATAGTGAAGTTGCGGCATTTAAACAAAATCAACAAAGGCTTCGACGTCCTTGTGCTTCTCCGCAAATTGCGCAGCACCACCTGCTGTCTTCAACCTCATCCTGACAAGACTCACTTCGTCAACTCACCTGTACATTGGACATCAAGTAGCGGCGATTCCTGTCAAATTCTTAAAACTGCTTTAACTTACGAGGCTTTGTTCTTCTCTGTCTTTGTCGGTTCCACCAAAAACGGCAGATTTCCATATCCCTTCTTTTCTCGGTAAGTCAGTTGATCCTTTTCTCTTGCCTTTAATCTAGCACGAAACCTAAAAGTCTCAAAAATGTTATCAAACGATGATGATTTCGAAAATTTTGTTCGAATCACGCATAGCAAGGGTTCATTTAAAAGAAAAATCGCAGCCCAGAACGAAGGTCTCAAAAAGATCATCTCTGATAAGAACAATTCATCTGTAAAAGACTTGACTGAGGATGTCAATATCACCTCCTTAAAGTCCCCGATCGCTCCCTCTAGGAATAGGCCTCCCACTAAAGACAGCTCTGTGAACAGTAACAATAATCGTAGTCCCATAAAAGGAAAGAGCTCTGACCCAACTAGTCCAAATCGTTATAGTGACGACACGACCGGTGAGTGCTACGTATTCATTGAAGTATGCAACAATAACCTAGAGAAACCTTTTCGCCTTAACTCAGATTTATTTTTTTTCGAACACATCAAAGATCTCAAATTGGATGGTTTGATTAATATCAAAAACAACCAGCAATGGCAAAGCCAAACTTGGTTTTGCCACTGTGGTTGATGCCAACAACTTTATAATAAACAATGATTTTGGTCCAAAGTCTTGCAAGGCCTACATCCCTAGAATTTTCACAGAAAAATTTGGGATCGTAAAAAACATTCCACCTTCAATTAAGGAAGAGGACTTTCTCAACTCAGCTACCTCTGATATTGAAATCATTTCTGTTACAAGAATCCTCAGAAGAGACCCTGCAGACAGAGAAATGTTCATCGTAACAAACAGCCTAAAAATTGATTTCAAGGGTAAACTAATTCCCAAGAGTATAAAATTCAACTATTGCAATATTCCAGTTGACTACTTCATTCCTTCCGTCAGGCTCTGCTATAATTGCGGCCGATTTGGTCACATCGCCAAATTCTGCAAAAGTAAGGAAAGCAGATGCCTGAACTGTGGCAAGTCACCGGTCTGTCCCACGGACTCATGCCTCTCAATCAAATGTCTAGGTTGCGGGTCGCTGGACCACAACGTAACATTTCGAGAGTGTCCAAAAAGAAAGAATTTAAAAAAAATTTTAACCATCCAGAACTTATCTTTTAGAGAATACAAAGAGAAATTCTCTAACAACCCATACAATTTACTTGAAAACTATGACGTAAACTTCCCAGCAATGAAGGACAGCAATGCTCCTAACAATATCAGAGACCCTACTATTGATACAAATAATATTTTAATTAACAAAAACTTCAATGCAGTTTTAAAAAATAAAACAAGTATTCCCAAGTCCTTGCATAGAATGTCTCTCAAGACGCCCTCGACTTACAGTAACAAGTCGCAGCAGCCAAAAAAACCTACCCCACCCCCTGAAAAGCATATTTTCATCAATTACCATAAATCCACTGAAATGGAGATAATTCTGGAAAAGATTTTCAGGATTCTCTCCATCTCTTCTCAAGAAGACATGCTTAAAACCATCCAAACAGAAATAAGTTCCCTTAAATCAAAATTTGATCTTTTAAAACAAGGTACATCTGGGTCGGCCCTATCACGTTCTAACATTTCTCATGACGTCCTTTCTACAGTATAACATACAAAGCTTCAGGCGTAATGCCCATTCTCTTGATTTTTTCATAAATTCCAACCGAACTGATTTCGCCATCTTGAGTGAAATCTTTCTGTCCGATGAAAAAATTTCCGATCTCAAAATCTCAAATTACAACTCCGCTTATAAATGTAGAAGTGACGGCTATGGAGGTGTTGCCATCCTTGCCAGAAAAGGCATATCCTTCAAACAAATCCCATTTAAATCGACTGCTGACATTGTCATTATCAAAACCTCTTGTCTAAAACCTAATATCGTCATTGCTGCTTGCTATTTCAAGCCCAACATCCCCATTCAATCTTTCCGGGATGACTTTAATCGTCTCTGTGATATGCTCAATAGTTTCCACAATGTCATAATTGCAGGAGATTTCAATGCAAGACACCCTTGCTTTGGTGACTCCGTGTCAAACAATAAAGGCAAAGCCTTGCAAGAAATCATTAAAGCTAGTAACTTCTATTGTCTGAATGATAATTCACGAACCTATTTTCACTCTACGACCAACAATTGTGGTAGCGTGTTGAATCTTACTTTCACTAACGCAACCCATCTTACATTCAAACGGGAGGTTAAAAAAGAAATTTTCCTGGGAAACAGCCACCACCTTCCTATTCTCTTTAATTCTATTACCTCGTACAAGATAAATGACTTTATCTCGAGGAAAAAACTCCTAAATAATCTTATTCACGTATGTCTTGAGCCACAGGTCGAATCTATCCAGTGCTCATTTCAACAAGAAATAATTAATGCCAAATCCGACATCCAAATCTCGAATTCCTACTCACCAAAACCTTGGTGGAACGAGCTGCTCACTTCACAATTCCGTAGATTACAGGCTGCTAAACAAAAATTTTCCAAATACCCCAATATTTCTAATTTTGAAGATTTCAAGTTATCACAAAAAGAATGGAAGAAATCGATTAGAAAAGCCAAAAGATGCCACCGAGCCCTCGTTATCGAAGAGCTGTGCTCAAATAGCAATACAAAGCCATTCTGGAAATTTTTAAATGGTCATCGCGCCACAAAAAAGAAATACAAACACCCCATTTGGGATGATCTCAACAACAAATCCTACCTTGAATGGCTGAAAGCTCAAGTTCCCTCGACATGTGGTCTCCAAACCTCCTTACTTAACTCTCGGATGGAAAACATCTCTCCATTCTCCCTTGATGAACTCATGCACGTCCTTAAGTCGAAAAAGAAGTCCACAGCAGCAGGCCATGACGGAATCAAATATGAAATGATAAAGGTCCTTCCCATGCCAAGCCTTCTAACCCTGCTATCTGCTATAAATGAGCGCTGGATGACCAACTCGTTTCCCACCGTTTGGCGTACAATTAAAATAGTGCCCATTCCTAAACTCGGAAAAGATCTTGAAATATTCACTAACTTCAGACCCATATACCTCTTGCCTGTTCTTCTAAAAATTATCAACCAAATGATTAAAGAAAGACTAACAAAATTCCTGAATCACTCACACCTTCTCCCGTCAAGGTCCTTTGCTTACCAAAAAAATATCTCCACCGGTATGTGCCTTAATGAAGTCCTTTTCACAATTGCAAATGAAAAAGCAAATGGAAACCAGGTAGTCATGCTTTGCTTAGACATTAATAAAGCTTACGACTGTGTACACTTAGCGAAACTGGACCAAATTCTATCTAATTTTAAAATCCCGACACAAAATAGGCATTGGGTTCTCAACTTTCTTTCCTCAAGAACTCTCGTATTAGATTCACATACAGTCGAAATTTGTGGAAGCTTACCTCAAGGTAGCTGTCTCAGCACAGTTCTCTTCAATTTATACACAGCCGGTTTACATCAATTACAGGACAATTCTACCCATTTATTTCAATATGCTGACGATTTCCTCATCATCTCTGCTGGAAAATCATTAATGGAAGCAGTCCGTAACCTCGACACTAAAGCCAATCTTTTTCACAAACTTTGTGCAGACTTAAATCTAACTTTCAACCCGGAAAAATCAAAAGTCATTCGCTTTGCTAAGGGTCCCAAAAAATTTTTTTAAATTACAATCAATGGTGTAAAAATCAGTCCGTCTTCCTCTTTTAAATTTTTGGGCAGAATAATCAACTCAAGTTTAACCACGCATGAGCATTACAAGGATAGCCACGAAAATCGCAACACAGGCTCAAATGTCATCAAACTTCTGACCAACATTCACACCGGACTCCCACCTAGGAAAGCATTAAACGTTTACAAATCTATTGTTAGATTCAAAATTGAATATCCCTACTCTATATCGTGTAACGCTTCACAACGTGGGAATTTAAAGTTCTTCACCGTCTTATGAGTAATCATACCTACGACAAGGTTTATTTTAAAATGATCAAAGTCTCCTCCTCTGACATCTATGAAGATTGCAATATTACTGAGTCTGCCGAGCACCTTATTTTTGAGTGCAGGAGGTTTGACATCCTTAGACAATCTTTCAGTATATTTAACCTGTATAACAAATTATATGAAATTTTTAGTGCTGGTAAATTTAGGCATTTGAAGCAACTGACTGCCTTTATCAAATCAGCTGAGTTTTCACTCTAATTTTACATTTAGTATTTCTATTGCAATCACGAATCGTCTACACTTTCTCTTTTATCGGCATTATTAGCCGGATCTTGACAGTACAGTACCAAGTACATCAGTCTACGTATGCTCAAATTTTTTCATCAATCGCTCTCAACTTCGTTTCTGGATTATGGATCTAACATTAACTTAATTGGTCCAATCCATTTCTAAACAAA